GGGTGGCCAGCACCATGGAGCCCACCCAGATGACAGACAGCTTGGACAGGATGGACTGGCAAGGCTCCACCTTCGGTTTCTGAAAGGGCCCGGGGTTGGTGGCCGCATGGAAACGATCAATACTCAGAGCACAGAGACTGAATGTGGCCACACCCAGAGAGGTCACCTGAGAGGGAAACGACAGAGGGGTGTTTGGTGGTGTAGAAAACTGCTTCACATATCAATTACAGGCCTTTAATGTGGTGTAAAACGACACACATAAACACAATCACACCACAAGGCCATTTTATGTGGATTAAAGAAACAAGATACAATGTGTTATTCTCCTTTAGAGGTGTTACCTCCACACCCATCAGCCATTGTTGAGGTAGAGAAATTGGTTAGAGAGGTTTCCAACTTCAACCAGGGAGTTGTAGCAGTTCTCTCTCCTTTAATTTTTCACGTGTGCTGCTTTTACACTTAATCCAATATCAGTCAAAATTGTCGAGCTGCTACACTCTCAGCTACCCAACAGTGTCTACATAAAAAATGAATGTGACTTACAAATCTGCTGGTTGTTAATAAACAGAGCTCCGCTCAGATGCTCTGCAGCAAAGTTACAAAGGCTAATTGGGCCATTGGGCCATTACTTGATCCAAATGTTGCTCTTCTTTATGCAGAATAATGCATCTGTGAAACATTAATAGACCATTACAACCTATAAACCCTTTTTAAAGGGTGGTGCTGAAATGTGTGCATTCTTGGTATCTGCAATAAAACTCCATATTGACATAAAAATGCAGATGCCAATCAGCTCTACTTTCACATAGTAAGCTAGAAATCAGACCATCTGGGATGACTCGACCGACACAGCAGTGGTTCTGGTGCTGCTCCGACTGCACCGAGACATGTCCTGTTAGCACGACTGAGGACTCAGACTTCATTCAGATGCTCTAAACTGAGCACAGGAGGGTGTTTTGTTGCTTGAAGAACAAGTCTGAGGGTTTCTTCTGCCTTGTTATGCTAAGCTATGGTTGAGAAAAAAAAAAAGCTTTCATTTAACCTTTAGAAATGGAACAACAGGTGCCACAGAGGGAATTGAAGCTATAATGCTGTGCAGCTTTAGGCCTGCAGACTGGGAACAGTTATCTGTGCCTCGTGCACACTGAAGTCTGTGGTTTTGGCCAAAAACACGGGCTATCATTACAGAAACTTGTCCTCCCTCTGTGAGTGCTTAATGACCTCAAACAGTTAAGACACGACTGAAGATAATTAACACAGAGCTCTAATTAGCATGAAAATAGTTTAACTAACGGGGGGGCAGCTGGCAGCCCACCCGCTTTAAACACTGCTCCACACAACCCTCGCACTACAAGCTGCAAAAGAGCATTTTTAAATACGTTAATTAATTAGTAGGAAATTAATTCATTAATTAGCATTAAAATAGGTAACGCGACACAGAATAGAGGGGTCAGCAGCCTGACCTCCTTAAAGATGGTTTCATATGAGCTTTTATTGCAAATTAGTGAAACGCCACTTCAGTTATCAATAAAGGGCGAACACAGCCGGTGAAATAGGGACCTCACAGGCCGAGTCTGTGTCCATGTGAGACAAGAAACAGATGGTTTTTGACCATTTTCACTACTTTTTGGCAACAGTAAAAGATTTCCCCACTGGGATTAATAAAGTATAATAAATTTTAAAAAATAAAATTTCAAATGCTTTGATTAATTGAAAAAAAAAACCTGTCTGATATATATGTTTATAAAAGAAAATAATCATTAGTTGTTTCCAAGCCCCCTCCATGCTGTCAGGAATGACATTTTACTGGAGAAATTCTAAATCCTAATGCAAATAAAAACACAGACCGTCTTCAGCTATAGGTTGTTTTCCATGTCTTCACATTCAACAGCTGCCGAGTCCAAAGTTGAGATCCTGTACTAAAAAGTACTTTTCCTCTGTCTCATCAGTAACTGGAGGGTCCTGACTTTCTCCTGCTTTCATCAGAGGCAGCAATAATGTTATTTTTGTCTTTCACTAAGTGGACTCAGTGTTGGATTTCTATAGCGGGTTAAGTGAGCATCCCAGTTCATGATAACTACATCTTTGTGTTTAACTGTGAGCTTCATGTGGGGCTCTCGCTGGCCCCTAGTGATGGTTTATAATAGACAGACAGTCTCTAAGAACATGTTTGGTGAAAGACTGCTGTGAGCCTGAAACAGAAGAGCAACCCAACACAAACAGGCCATTCATGACGGACCTGGATGTCTCTTCATCAAACTGGAAGAATGCAACTGTTTAAAAATTAACACAGTAACCGTTAGTTATCTGTTGTTTACCTCCAGCGGAGTCACAAAGCTGTTGACTAGTGATGGGCTTTTGTTACGTTTTATCATATGATCATGTTTTAAGTATTTTATAGTCAGTTTGTCTTTGTAGTTGAGCCTTTGTTTGCAGTCTCATTGTAATTGTGTTTTTGCAGTCATTTTCAATCCATCAGAACTACTTGTATAGCACCATTCATACAGATTCAGGCAATTCAAAGTGCTTCACAGAAGACTGACAAAAGACAGAATAAATGTGAAAATGAATTTTCCTCTCTATAGTCATTTTGAACTTCCTTGTAGTAATCTTCAGTATTGTGTAGTTGTCTTATTGTAATACTGGGTATTCGTTTTGCACCTCTTTGTAGTGGTTCTGAACATTTGGCAGTCACTTTGAGTCTCTGCAGTTCTTTTGAATATTTGACTCATTTTGTGATTCTATTCATTTTGAGTATTTCTGTAGTTGTCTGTAAATCTCTGTGGTCATTTAGCATCTTTTTTATGTTTGACTTCCCAATAAGAAATGTCAAGAGTGACTTAAACACCTGCTCCAGCTCAGGGCCCCCTCTCCAGTGAACACCTCACCTCCAAGTAGGGCACGAGCCGACAGGACAAGTCTCCTAGCAACCTCTTCAAGGTGAGCTCGTGGAAGACGACCACCGGCAGGCAGAAGAATAGCACGAGGAAGTCCCAGAACGCCAGGCCCGCCAGGATGCAGTTCCACACGCTCTTCAGGAAGAAGTTGTGCCACACGATGCACATGAGCGCGAGATTTCCCACGATGCCCGCCGCAAACAGCACGAGTGCGAGCAGCATGACGGCGTACGCCCAGTAGGACCCGTCGGTGACAGGGTATAGCGGGTTGAGGAGCCCCGACCCCTGAGCCGATGAGGCGTTATTACTCGGGGGCACGGGGGTGTAATGGTCGGTCCGCGGTGTGGTGAAGTAACCACTCGGGTCGTCGTACAGTCGCGGGTACCCGTGACTACCGGGAGAGAGTGGGTCTCGTCTCCTGAAACTCCCATCTTTGGCTCCGCGGGCGACTCGTTTCACATCCGGAGCTTTGGACCTTTCAACCCAACCTAGAAAGTTACTCTCCGTGGACTCCTTGGTCTCCGCAGGTGGCGTGCGAGCATCCTCAGTCCGCTGCAGCTCCGGCCGAAACTTTGGGTCTGTGTGGGCATAACGGAGCTCTGCGGTTCGCACAAAGACAAGCAGAAGAACTAAAACCGGGCTCATTTTAACCGTCAACTAACTGGTCCGTGTTATCCGTCTCCTCCACAGACATGTGCTGCAACAAATCAAATATGTGACTTCAGACATAAACCCCGTCCATGAAACCGCCCCAGCCGCCTCTGGTCCTGATGGAGAAGTTCTGAGTCTGCGGCCCACAGCAGCACTTATAGTCCAGCTGAATGCAACAGTTTCCGGTTATAACTTTCAAAATAAGGAAAAACTGAACACGAGAAAGTGAAGCATGTCCCTGTGAGTAGTGGTGGAAGAAGTACTAAAGTAAATGTCCACATCAAAATACAGCCCAATTAAAGTAAAAGGTAAAAGTTCTCATTGTGCAGAATGCCGCATTCAAGTATTTATTTGAAAGTTAGTGTACTCATTTCATTTTTTATTTTAATTTATTATTTTAATTAATTTTTGTATAATATGATGTCATGGGGTAGGACTGGATAAGTCTGACTCCTTCCTACTCCATTCAAACATGTAATATGTGTAAGCAAACTGATTTTGGATTAGCATTGGTTAGATATGTGCAATTATGTGTGTTGTTGCCATTTGTTCATTTGTTCTGTTCTGCATGTTTGAAAGAATAAAATCAATCAATCAATATTTGGCCAATAACTGGCTTAGATCCCTGTAGCTGTGTTTGGTTGCTGTTCCTAAGTTCAGCTTTATTTCCACAGCAGCTAACAAAACAAGAAAACCAGATTTTTCTGTTTCAGTAGGAAGCTCTGACCACAAAGTATCTGTCAGTATTTACAAAACTAGAAAAATGTGATACTCTGGTGACCCTGGACCTTTTGAATGTTCACCTCATGTCTCTCCAGCTGCCATTTGGTCTCCCTATTCCTGACTGTTTAAAGTCTAGGGCACCAAGAGGAAGAAATAATGGCCGTTTCCCCAAGTTTATTATATGGGTCCATGTTCCCCTCACTTGCATCTTTTCCTTGGGTCTTAGTCCTTTTTATGAAAGATGCGTCAAAAAGACGAAGAAAAATTACGAGGTGAGAAGAATCAGGTAAGAACATTTATACAGATGTGACACGCCCTTTCCTCTGAAGTGTCCAATACCATTATGTACCCTCACTCAAGGCTCCTCCAGCATCCTCCTCCTTCCTCAGAGCAGGTATAAGAGTCTTGTGACATCAATCCACGCTCGACCTGGAAGTCATTTCGGTCAAGCATAGTGAGGGGATGATCATACTTGGTAAGAAACCAGTGTGTCAGCTCCTGATTTTTAAGTCCAAACCAGGGAATGCAAACTGAAAGACTTCCTGTCCCATAATCCTCAGCTCTTCTGAGAGGACTTTAGCTTCCTGAGGGCGTCCTTGTGTTTCTTGCGGTACTCCTGTGTAGAGAGACCAGAAGGTAAAAATATCTCTACAAAATTTTCCATCTCATTTTCAGGTTTAGTCAACAGTAATGTACAGAAGACTTCCGTTAAAATTTGTTTTGTAGTAGTATGGTCATAAATAATGGCACCTGACAATGTCTGAGTAGAGCTAAGAAACTTGTCAAACGTAATGTGTATTGCAGTATTTAGCTTCAAGGGTAAAGTAAGACATGGTTATTCAGTCCCTCCTCAGGTACACCCCTCTCTCTGTGCAGAAGATCTGGAGACTTGGACCGAGATGTTTCTGCATTCAGAGGTTTTCTGACACCTGCAGGCTCATGCTATCAGCAAAAATATGTTTGATACTGCCACAGAGGACACCAAGGAAGATAAATTTTTTAAGTCCTACACAGAGGCTTTAAAAAGGATTGCATAAAGTTCTTGCAATTGTCACTTATATAAAGTATCTTAATTAATTTCTGTATTAACTACTTAGACTGGAACCAGAATCAACTGATAGTGTACAATGGTGACTGAACACATGACGTACTACCTTAAAAAGGACATTTAAATTGGGTCATTCTTTAAAAATTAGTAGTTCTTACTACAGATTTCAATGCTGTATGAAGACTTCCATCTGGTTTTGTTCCTGACAAAGTAAACATGGTGAGACCACTTTTGATTATGTTCCTCTGAAAACTAATGCCAACCTGTTTAAGTTCTTTCCTCCTCTCCTCCCACTGCTCCTCCAGCTGAGACGAGCGACAGAACAACTTGGGACCTTCTGAAGGAGGAAAGAGAAGCTCAAAGAAACAACACAACATTTCAGGAAATCCTCTTCGGGGGTTGTTACAACTGAGAGACATCACATCTTGTCCCATGTTTACTGGGTTTATCAGATACTGTGTAGAATCTTAGTTAAGATTTAACCTGGTGCTTAATAAGAGGTAAAACAACATTATGACTTCTTGCTTGCGTAACAGCGTGCTGAGGTCAGTGATGGGAGCAGGAGAACAGTAATCAACTCTTTCTTTGAATGTCCACCTTACCTGTCAGTCTGCTGTCATCTGGGTAGAAGAAGAACAGATCCAACTTTGGAGGAGTCTCTCTGTGAACGGCAACACAAACACACATTCAGACACTGGGATTTTAATTAAACAGTGTGACCACAGCTCTACAGGTGAGTGTTAAGGTATGAGTACTTCAAAAATACTGTGTCTAACAAGCACTATAACTGAAACGGACAATCCGACCGTCACACCCACTTTCTGCAGTGATTAGCCAGGTGTATGTTGGTATGAAGCAGGTGGGCATTGAACTTCTCTCTCATGCCGTTTTTAAATTGTTTACACAACCGCTCTGGTCACTGATCATGTGAACACTATGAAAAAGCTTAACGATTCTTTACATCTCACACTCAATATCTGATTAAAATATTCACTGACTTACAGTAAATTAACTGGAAATTATTTTAATAATTGACAAATTTTCAGTTCGGAAGAAAAAAATGCCAGACATCCACTGGCTCTAGTTTCTTAAATGTCAGATTTTCTGCGTTTCTTTGTAATAAACAATACTAAATTCAATATTGGGCTTTGGAATGATTGTCGAATGATGAAAAAGGAAGTCGCCGTCATGAACTCTGGAAAATTATATGCGCCACTTCTTCCTATTTTCCAAAAATTTATACACAAAACAATTAAGTTTCTCTTTCAGAAGTTGTGGCGAGTGGAGCTCAGGTGGGCTGAATGGGCAGAATGAAGCTAGCCACCAGTGGTGGGACCCTCCTGCCTGTCACTCAAAGTGGCCACACAGTTAATTATACGTTACCTTTAGTCTCAATATAATTTAAACAGGTGAGTTAGATACCACCGTACAGTTGTCAGGAAGGGGTCCAAGAGACAAAAACTGTTTTTGTACCAGTCTGTAAACATGTTTCTTTCTGCTGTAAAGTTGGGCATTTTAACGATTGACTCCTCTTTGGAGCCTGCCTCAAGTGGCCATTCGAGGAACTGCAGGTTTTGGCACTTCTCTGGCTTCCTTTCTCAGCCTCGGAGGCTGCTGCTTAGTTTTATCTTTATTTTTCTCACTCTGTTGTTTTGGCTGCAGCGCTGCCATCCTCCTCATCTTCCTCCTGCTCTTCCTCATCATCCTCTGAGCTGCTGTCAAGCAAACGTGGGTCTTGTTGCCACGACACCTTTGGTGCCTGGATGCTCTCCACCTTGTAGTCTACTGGAAAAAAGAAACTTATGAATTGGTGAAAACACATCTCCCCTCGGAGAGACAGTGAGGTAGACATCAGAGACACAACCCACCCGTCTCTCTACTTTTTGTCTCTGTGCCATCACCAAAGAAGGAGAATTTAAATCCAGTTGACGCCTCTTTCTCTGCACTGGGATCAGCCCAGAGGAGAGATGACAGCACGGTCGGCTCCTCATCCTTTCCGCTCTCGTCTTTCTCCTCTTGATCCCAGCTCTTTTTCACTTCTCCTCCAGCAACGTCATTCTTCGTTGAACCAAACACAGCCTTCAGGTCACCAGACACGTCGTAATAAATCTCTTTAGAAATCTCCGGAAGCTTCTGAACCTCTTCCCTCTTCTTACTGGCAGCCTTGCTGAGAAGACATCACATCACATAACAGCCTTAGTGGAGTACAGGTAGAGCTGATAACGTGGGCACAAAGCAGTTAGAGTATATTTTAATTGGAAGAAACTGGTCAAGAACTACAGGAAACGTTTGACCTCTGTAATTGCAAACAAAGGTTTCTGTACCAAATATTAACACTGATTTTCTCAGGTGTTCAAATACTTAAGTTCAGCAGTGCTAGACAAATAAATTCTTTAAAAATCATACAATGTTATTTCCTGAAATTTCTTTTTAATTCTGTCTTTCAGAGTGGGAATGCACCTACAATGTAAATTTCAGAAGCCTCCATGATTTCTAAGTGGGAGAACTTGCAAAATCGCAGGGTGTTCAAATACTTCTGTTCCTCACTGTATACAGCAGAACCAGAATTACCACCTTTTTATTCTTTGCAGTTCTTACTTGTGAAAACCTGATCTGCATCACTCATGCACCAAATATTGATTAATCCACCAGTGAAACTAGTCCCCAGTAAATACACTTGTTCCTCCTGTTAGAGTGAGCTTTAGTAAAACTACAGTGCTCGGTTGTTGCAGAAAATTGTGCCTTTTAAATATTTACATCTTCATTAGGGATTGGTTGGTGCATTCATGTTTTACCTCTCCTTCTTGGTCTCAAAAGCAGCATGTTCCTCTCTGGTGGGGTCATAGTGCAGTGCTGAGATGTCTCTGCAAACAGATTTAGTTTCTTTTTGAATATCACATGCTGAAACATTCGGAAGCGTCTGTGGTCCAGACTCTGTGTATCTGTGCAGCTGACCTGAAGGTCTTGGCTTTGCCGGACATCTTGCTGCTGCAGGTTTGCTGGCTGCTGCCGATGATGCTCTGCAGGATGGACATATTCTTCTTCCTCTCCTCCTCCAGAGACTCGTCTTCCTCTGTCACTTTCCTTTTCCCCTCTGAATCATTAACAGATGCTTTGTTCACTTTAATGCAAGAACTGACAAACATTCAGCTGGACAAAACAAAGTGTGCACCACAAAGAGCATCTCACACCAATGGGCAGAAGACTGTACATGTAAATGTTAAGAATGTACTTTGCATCACAGTGAGAGATGAAATAAATAAAATGTCACCAGTCTTTTAGCCCCATGAGTAGAGTGTATCCAGACCTACACCCTCACCTGACTCCTCCTCTTTGTCCTCATCATCGTCTAGGAAGCGAGTGTCCATCCGGAAACGACTGTCTACCCCAAAGCAGGACTGCAGCTCCATCAGCTGGACAACACACAGAGAGAGAGTTGTCTAATCACAGCGTTGATCTCCTCCATTAAGGTATGTTAATGTATAGCTGGAAAGCCCTGAAATCAGGTTCAACTATGCATAATCCCTAGGGGATAAACCCTGATGATTTTGGTGATTCTGGCTTTTCTTCTGGCCCCTGAAGCACCTGAAACCTTTTCTTACAGCTGTTTCAGTTCGACAAAATATGGAACCATAGTCTGTCCTCCGTGGGAGACTATGTGTCTGGACGATAAACTAAAGCCAGCTGATAGGTTAAGTGCCTAGAAAAGCACTATATAAGCTTGTTTTCTCACCTGTTGTCCTGCTCGACCTTCAAACTGAGGCCTGATGTCAAACCTGTTTTTATCTTCCTCTTCATCACCATCCTCCTCACTGCCATCAAACAGCTGAGGGGCCGATGGCCTCAGACGCACCTGAACGCACAATAAATTCACAGATGATTCACATAAAAAAAAAAAAACAACCGACCTAGTTCTCTCTCAGATCAATAACTCCTCACCCACCTTCTCTTTCATTGTGCTGTCCTCACTGGCTAATGCCTTGTTGCCTGAGGACTCATCATCTGATTGGCTGTTCTGGAACAGGGTTTTCTTTGACCTTTTGACCTCTGAGGTTGTCACTTGCTCATCTTCTTCATCATCAGAACCAAAGATGACATGTTTCCCTGCTCCTGCTGTAGGGGTGTCCTAAAGGGGATTCAAACTGTGTTAAACAGGACTCTAAATGAGCCTGATGTTTCTCTGTATCTACCCTTCAACTAACAAGAGCCGGCCAATCAGAGACTTACTGTTCATCATTTCAGTGTAAACCTGATGACTCCGTTTTGTTTATTGAATTACATGAATCTGTTTCCAAGGTCATGATTTGCCCCAAATTAATTAATCCATTTGCAGTATCTGTTCTTTTTTATGTATCATTAGTCAGTGTTAACAACCAACAACTGTAAAATTACTCCTAAAACCTAACCTGGACCTTATGCTACCCTGAATTCCTTTCAAGTAGAGAGGACTAGACGAGTGTGTTTTAATCCTAGTCTTGGAGGCACACTGGCTGCATCCCAATTCTCTTATATTTTCTCTGAGGAGCGAGGAGGCTGCAGGAGACATAAGAACATCCTTAACAGAAGTCCTTTATGTACCGACGTGCCCCTTTTGTGTTCCCTCAATTCTTCTCTCCTCGCCTTTTTTTCTTGCATCTTACGTGAGCGGGACTAAGACACAAGGAAAAGATGCAAGTTAGGGAAATGTGGATGCATGTGAGAGACTTGGGATGTATCCCTTGTCCAATATGTTTTCCATCTCCTCCTGTCCCAGCACACCCAGCTCAAATCGGTGCAGCCCCTGATATGCTAAAAGTACCGGACTTAGTAAACCTGAGATGCATTTGACAGTGGCCTTCCAGGACCAGGACTGAAAAACACTGGACTAGACAAAAACGTTTCTAGTTGTTTAAACAGTTGAAGGTCCAAACTTCACAAAGACTGGACCCACAAGCTCTGCACCCACCAGCTTGGCCAGAGCTCCCCGGATGAGCCTCTTGTGTTCTTCAGCCTCTTTCTGTCTCTGCTGGACAGCAGCAAGCCTCCTCAAGTTGGCTTTCCTTTGCCGCTTCTCTTCCTCCTCAGCTCCTAACGGCACCCGGCGAGGAGCTTGCTCTTCCTCCTCACTGGAGGAGGACTCACTGTGAGCAGCAGGGGGAGGTGCCGTTTTCACCACATCTTCAGCAGAATCATCTTGCTTGTCCTTGCCTTGCTCAGTGCAGGATGAAGATAAAGTCTTTGCTGCAGCTTTAGCTATAAAAACAGTCTGATTGGCTTTCATCTTATCCTCCTCTTCCTCCTCCTCATCGCAGCTAGAGGCAGAACCAGGACCAGCTTTCTCAGAGTGTACAGCAGGTTTAGCCAGAACCATGTTTAAAACATTTGGAGCTGCCATGTTCCTCACAGCCTCCTTCTTTCTCTCCTCATCGTCTTCTTCCTCTTCCTGCTCACTGTTCTCTGGAGTCTTCTTCTCTGTTCCTGTGAGTTTCTGTCTGCTCAGACACCTGCTGGTTTTGCCGTCTGTTGCTCTGTGGTTCACCTGATGGGTGTCGGAGTACAGCTTCTGTTTTCTGACTGCATTTCCTCTTCCCTCATCCTCCTTTTTCTGTCTCTTCAGACAGCTGTCTGTTTCTGACCCCTCATTCAGTGCTACTGTCCCCTGGAAGGCAGGCAGTTTTGACATGACAACTTTTCTTTTTTTCTTCTTTTTTTGTTCGTCCTCACTGCTGTCTTCCTCCATGATGGCGGCAAGGATCTCTTCTGGCAAAGTGCCTTTTTTAGGAGCAGGTTGTTCTACAGAACTGGATGCGAGGTTAGTTTCTAGTTTGGGAGTGGCACCAAGGATGCTGGGAGCTGGAGTTTCAGAGGTTGGCTGGGACTCTTTAGCTAGCCTCTGTAAATCAGCCAGGGAGATCTCTAGGCAAGTGACATTTGAAAACATGGCTTCATAATCAGAATCTGAACTGGAATCAGCAGATTGCACATCCTCGTCATCTTCATCATCCTCATCACTATCTGATTCTGAGAAGGGGAGTTTTAAAACAGGGAGGACTGTCATCTTCTTACTTTGGGTTTCAGTGCTATTGCCTTGTGTCTGAGAATTCCGTTTACCAGAATTCCCTCTTTGTTGTGAGGAGGAAGGTTTTCTGGATGTGAGGTGTTCTGCAGAATCTGCTGAACTGTCCTCCTCCTCTTCCTCTTGCTCTGAAGCTTTACTTGTCTTCTTTGTCTTTCTTCTCCTGTCTGTGTTCTTCCCTGAGAGGTGCTCGGCAGTGGGTGGGCTCAGTTCCTCCTGTAGTGGAGGAGGAGCTTTTCTGGAGGCCAAGAGCTCATCTGTGTCAGCTGAGTCATAGTCATCCTCATCTGGCCTTCCTGGAATCACAAAGAACAACCTGTTCTTGTCACATTTTTACAGCATATTTAAATGACTGCTTGGTCGTAGGATACATCCTGAGCTCAAGGCACTGATTCAAATATATTTTTATTCTATTATTCTAATTAGTTCATTCTGTTGTGGTCTGCTCATTCTTTTGCATATAAAGATAATGTGTCCGACCAATTCTGCAAAATTCACATCTTCCCTGTCATTGGTCAACTGTGTGGAGGTGAGAAAGAGGCCAGAGTTTGGACTTCTCTCTCTCTCTGTAGCCTCCTTTCACACTGTTTACACAACTATTTATGTCACTGTTCACTTAAACAACTGAGTGCTACACTATGAGATTCTGGTAGCTCAGAACATCTATGCACTTCTGATTTCTGACAAAGTCAGACTACATGTTTTAGGAACCAGTTCTAATGAGCATAACCTGACTCTTACTCTGGTTAATCCACAGAGCATTGCATGAACAGTTGATCTACTGCTCAGGAAATCTGTCTCCATTGTGTTGTGTGGATTATCAATGATAACAGGCACACTGTTCCTGGTAACCAACTAATCAGCTGTGGGTGGAAAATAAACTCTGCACCAGAGATATTATTTTGGGTATTAACTCAATGCTACACAACTTCTGCCTTTGCTAGCAGCAGTACATGCTCCTAAAAATCATAACATCGCCCCTATTTATGAAAACACCTAACAAAATTCTCTACTTCTCAAAATAAGTGAATATGTGGCTTAAAATACAGGTCTTACCTTTCTGCTGCTTCACTAAGTAGTCAAATCCAACCACTTCCAGGTTATCGTCCTCCAATCCCTGCCACTGTGCACCAGGTGAAGTCTGCTGAGCTGCCACCAGCCTACGGATCTCCTCGTCTGAGTCAACATCACTGTCTGTCAAATGTGGCCCCCTCTTCTGAGCCATTCTGTGGTTGGTTGGTCGCTCAAATGCGGTGGTGAACTGATGAGCCTCAGTGTGAACAATCGGCTCCAATCTGAGAGGAGACAGAGTAACACATCTCAGAAGTTGAATCGTGTCACTCACAGTTTTTTGTTAAGAGAACTGATTATTTGTTCTCCAACAAATTTAAAGTTATTTAAAACTATAAATACCTACAGAGTAGATAGTGAATCAAGTTATTTATGTAAAGCAGAGCAGACACTGTACAGATTTAAGTCCAATTCAGTTACCCACCAACTACTTTTAGAATCAAGCTGAAATTCAACTTGTCGTTTGAGTGTAGCATCACCTGAATAATCAACTATCTGCTGTGTGTTTTGGAAATTCTAGAAACCATTAGGTAGTTTTTGGAGTCCCAGAATCAAGTAGGCTCTTAAAACCATCCAAGAAACTAGTAAAAATTCTGGGAATTCCAGAGATTCTAAAAATCCCAAGAACAGGCAGAAATTCCAAAGAATTGTCATTACCACTGGGTACATCTAGGAATCTCAGAAAATGGTAGGAATCTTTGATAATCCCATAAACCCCCATGGACTTCTGGCAAAATGATAAACCAGCAAGAAAATCTGAGAATTACAGAAACAAAATGATTTTCTTTTGGAAATTCAAGAAACCTGTGGAACCTTTAGGTCAGAAAATGTCGTCACCTGTTTTGAACCACAGCATTATAGGAGTTGACCGTGTGTGTCCGATACTTCTTGGGTCTTGGTGGCTCATATGGAGGGAACTCTCCCCGCCTCTTCTTGCTGATGTCATCCTCTCCACCCGGCAACGCCCAGGTGAGCTGGGTGACAGGTGTGAACTGGTCTGCGGTGGTCTTGTCCAGCTTGCGGATGTTGTGGCTGTACTTCGAAGGGTCATACTTCAGGGTTCGAACTCTATTGCCTTTGCGACACCTGAGCTGCAGGATGGGGAGGACTCGTCCAAATTTACTGACCACCCAGTCCTGAAACCAGAGCATCCAGGAGACAGTCAACACCACCAATATTGCACATGGAACTATGTATTACATAAAGTCACCTAGTTGAGAAAAAGGACACAAACATTGGCCATTGAATGAGGTGGCATTTCATTGAAATAACAGCAGCTCCTTCATATTCCGCCTGGCCAGGGAGGGTATTTCTATTATCAAATGAAATGTCCATGTAGAAATGCCACAGATATGTTTGAGGTCAATAAGAAACAAAGTCTCCATTATACAGTTTGTTCACCAAAGAACATCACATGCACAACATGTTTCACACACAGATATCCCGACTGAAATAGAAAGATTTAGATGGCCAGACCTTGTGTCCTGGCACTTCGGTCCCTGGCACTGCAGCCTTCATAGTGAAGTTGTCCACGCCGACTTTGCTCAGCGAATGCAGCAGCTTCGGTGTCTTGTCCTCAGCTGTAGGCTGCTGGAGATGCTGCTCTGCTGCCGCCTGCCGCTCCTCAGCCAGTCTACGACACAAACACCAACTCAGGAAGATTGACTTATCATAGATTATTAGGGAATGGTTTAGAGAAGTGGAATATTTTTACTTTATAAATCCATATTATTGTAAGGAACCACCTTTCTTCGCCAAAAAAGCTGTTTCAATATTAAAATTGTAGAACTTTCCAAAGCCTTCATCCTACAGAACTACATATCTATTTTTAAAACAACAACTTGTTCAGAAACAGATGGTTACACTGTACTTCTTTGCCCAAAATCATTTTTGTAATTTAAGAGACAGGCTGTACCTGTGCAGGAAACTCTCCTTGGCTGTTTCAATCTGCAGAGTTCCTCCTTTCCATTTGGATTTGTTCAGCACTGTCAAACCTGCAGAGGAAACACAGTGATCTCATAGTGATGATACAACAGAAGCTCTGATGTCATTTAAATGTCAGGTAGCAAACTCAAGGTATAGTCTTGCCACATTGACAGTATTTTCTCCAGGCTTAAGTAAAATAAGACTTGAAGGCTGAATAACACTAAACAGCATGTTCAGACCAAAGGTTCTTGCAGTCTCAGGTGTCCGCCTGACAGTTTGAATAAACATCAGTCAAACTGAAGAGAGAAAGCTGCCGAGTTAAGCAGCTCAGTGCACTTACATTTCTTCAGGTCAGCATCTGAAATGTTGATGTTAATGTAGCCGAAGGTTTTGTAAGGAACACCTGCAGGAGAGCAGCAACAGTCAGAACACATGCAAGTCAGTGAGGGGAATGATGATTCTTAAATATCAGATGTAAAGGGATTTCATTTTGAAAACATTCTCATGTGATGATGACTGTGATGAATTATGTATCTTATGTATGTACTGTATCTACTGTATATATCTTAAACAACATCTTGGAATGTATAAATGATTAAATACAACATCAAAACATACAGAATTAATCTGAATTATAAAACTTAAACAATACCACTGTTGTCATCATGGCTGTCAGTATCAGTGTTTATAGGATTTCTCACCCTCCTCGTCCCTCCTGGTTCGGAGCTCCACATCTTCCACATCTCCAAACTTTCTGAAACGATCCTTCAGATCCTTCTCAGTGATTGCGTGGCTCAACCCACCGATATACAGTCGCCGCATTGCTTTGTATCCAGGACAGCACTGTCACTGCCTAGACAACAAACATCAGCATCAGCCATCCATGCCTATTCATTCATCCTTCCGTCAACAGAACCGTGGATGGGTATCACTGTGAGTACCTGCACCTTAGTAGTGCCAAAAAGGATTTACTGATCAATCATTAGCTGATTGACCAGAAACTTACTATAGAATAAAGAGTAGATAAAGCTAGTTGTATGATAGTTGTAAGACAGTTAACTGTCATATCTAACTCTGTCACTTCTCTCTGCCTGCAGATTTACAGCTTCTCTTGTTTCACTACAGTGAAATCTTAAAGGTTAGGTATTTAAATTGGTGGCTAGATTGTAGACATAATTTTGCAAATAGATAAGAATCATTAGCTTATAGGCTACATTTTATACATTATGCATTTTTATACAAAAACATCTTGGTGTGTGGGTAGAATATTGTTATTGCATAGAGAAATATCGCGTACAAATCTAAAACAGTTCCTCCCATCAGTTCGGCAACAGAGTTCACAGTCTTGTCCTCACTGGAATTATGGCTATAATATTCATATGCTCCAACATGTACACTTCACTCACTAGATGTTTTGTATCACAGTGCAGGGAAGAGGTCTGGTCAGTCCCAAAATTTATGACATGATAACGACCCCAAACATACAGACATAAAGAGCTATCTTCCGAGACAAAAACAGAAGCAGCGACACAAAGTCTAAATAAACTTGTATATCTGATTAAATTCGAGGAAAATTGAGCTGATACAGTTATCAAACTATTACTTTAAAAATACCACAAACATTTACCTCTCACATGCATCCAACTGGTGTTACCTTTAAATCTATCCGTAGCAGCACTCCTGTACACTTTCTCTTCCGGTCTTGTTTCCGCAGAACCGATACGTTCCGTTGTAGTCTAATTACTGTTGAAAGATTAAAAAGAGCTTTATAAAAAATACATAAAGCCAGAGGGAGATGTCGGTATGTTGATTACTGAAAAGGATTACCTATCACAGTTAACCAGTGAAAACAAATCGTTATTTTTTGTGATTAGTTCAAAACCGTAGTACTCGCTCTAGATTAGCTACAGATGTTGGATACGACTTCCTGTGCAGTGGTGACTCTCACAATTTCCACACCGAATAGCTTTTCATTGAGTGCCAAAATCAGCATTAAAACAATAACATGCACTTTTATAACAAAAACATAAATATATGGTGTACTTGTCTCTACATGGTGGAATACGTTCTGACTATTATCCAGAAAAACGTTGTCCCTTGCCCCCTCCCACTTGTGGAAAGTGGTAGAGTCCAGAGGGCGCGAGGCTCCAAAACTGTTTTGGTTGTCCAGGGTGAAGAAACGGAAATTAATCTGGTGAGCTAAAGTGTTCTCTTTACCAATTTAACACTACGGCTTGCGTTGGGTTTGGCACTTTAAGTTAAACCTTTTTTTTAAATAGAAAGTGATATTATAACAGTGACAATTTAACTTAACCAGCGTAAAGTCATCGTCGTCGTCTTATGGTAAGTTAGGTAACGTTATTTAGTTAGATGTAGTTTAGTGCTGCTGTGAAATAAGACAACGAACATAGAATTAACATTAACCCAACTTGAGTTTAACCTTTTGACAGCGTATTTATTTTACAAATTAGATTTTCAGCAACGCTCTGACGGGGTCGGGAATGCATTTAACCTTAACCACAATAGAAAATAGCGTATGTGCTTACCAGCATTTATTATTTCAAACTAAAGGATTCTCACATACAAAAACGTGGAAATCACCAGACATTAAACGAATAAATGGGCTACATTCATATTAATAATAGTAATTATAAACTAATTCAAACCATGCTTTAATAACATTAAGAACATACAGGCTCATTTGCACAAAACTAACAAGAAATAAAATAAATTCAAAGTGCAAAACAAATTAATATTACATAAACAATACTAAGTCTCCCCATAGAAGGGGGGAAAAAACTAAAAAAAATAACAAAACAAGGTAAATACAATACATATGAGGTTTTAAAGCCATAAAGGAAAGTATTAAATTTGGCTTTTTTAAGAAATTAATTGCACAATAAAGAAATGATGTAGAGTGTGTTTATGTGAATATGACGCATCTGAAAACAAGGAGCAACCACTGACAATGTTACTACCAGACCGTTTTAATACTGGATGATCCCATATTCACTTTACTTTTTATACTCCATTCATAATTCATTTGTCAACATTTGTCCTCCATTGCTCTTCAGTATTAAAGATCCTCTCCAGACATGTTTTAACATCTATGGAAATACTCTGCTTGGAATAAAGTGTAAATGTATGAATATGCAAAAACTATTTTTTCCCAAAAGTTTAATAAGTGGACAGAGGATTTCTACTTTATTGAAATCTCTTCAGTCTGTTCCAGCTCATCACACTTGTCTAAGTTGCATAGTTGACCAGTTACTGGCTTCACAAACAAAGCATTTTTGGTTGCAGGGGGACTTTATACAAGCAAGTCTCACATTGTTCAACTTCCCTCATTGAAATGAAAATGTTTTATAGAGGGGAAGATGAGCCAGGAGAACCCAGAGGAGGTGAAAGTGCTGGAGGCCCAGATTGAGTGTCTCCAGGCTGAAGTTGCAGCACTACAGCGGCAACAAAAGGAGCACCACAAGGACATGACATTTCATTTTAAAGGACAAATACAGGATGCCCTGTGAGTTTGTATTTTCCACCTGTAAATCTCTCTCTTTTACATTTCAACCTGCAGCATTTCAATGGAATTGTTGACAGTAAGCAAAGAGTCTGTCATTCATTCATCTCCACAGGTTGTATATGTGTGGACAGAGACAAGAAGAAGGGGAGAAGGTGCTGTCCAAGTTGATGGAGGAGGTGGAGAAGCTGGAAGAGGATCTGGAGCGACAAACACAGATGAACCGCATCAGTCTGAAAAGCTGCACAACAAAGACTCTGCAAAGCAGTAAGAGAACAGAACTGATAAATATTGAACTAGTTTTCAAAGACGTAGGAAAATTACCAGCTACTAGCAGATTCTTTGTGTATAGTGTATTATTTTCTTTATTTATTTATTCCGTTAGTATAGTAGCTTGTTCCTATTCTTACTATCATCAAGTCCACACAGAAAATACATTTTATGATGTTAAATAGGTCCTTGTGATGTGTGTGTTTGTGTGTGTACATGCAGGTGGCAGTAAGCTGGTCCAGCAGCTCAGTGTGTCAGGTCACTGCTCTGAAATGGCCTTCCAGGTGGAGTTCAAGCTTTCTGAGAACAAGGTGATTCATTTTATTGTTTAGAGAATCCATTGAACAGAAGAGCTCTGGTCCAGTCCCCATTTTTGTATTGTTTCATGTCTGTTCTCACCACCATCTCCCAAGCTAATGTGACTTAGTATGTGTCAGTTTTGTTAGCAGTTTCTTTGCCTGTAAAATAGGCTACATTCTGCTCATTCCATTGTTACCATTCACAAAAATTAATGCCAAACAAAGTTACAGCCTATTTCAGTTGACTGACTCAGCCATCTGTGAATATACCACTTCTTCACCTTGAAAGGCTCTTTGGTTGCTATGGCAATCTGGTACCAGGCATCACAGTTGAGGATACAATCTTTCGCCATAAGAGGGCAACAGACATCAATGTTCAGTGGTTCACAGATGATGCACTGTTAGATTTTAACAGCTCCTTGGACATCAGCAGGAGCTGTCAGACACACTCAACACCCAAGAACAAAGAAAATGACCATCATGTTTTAAGTGTCATACAGTCAGACCAAACTGTCTAAGAGGAAACAGTTGTCAGGTGGTATCAGGTGAAGTCATGCTGCTGGCTGATCACTCTGTGTAAGTGAAGGTTCAGATCAGAGTGGACTGAATGAGACATTTTACATTCATTTTCATTGTTCATGCGCTGGAGATATGTCCAAAACTCTCCTCCAGGCAGAGCTGGGTATCCCTGGAATTCTTTATTGTAGTTCTGAGTTCTAGTAACGATTCTAAATCATCCACTAGTATCAACTTCATACGTTACTTTGAGAAATATAAACAAGTCTTTCTGTCAAAACTGTTTTTGAAACCGTGGATCTTCTGTTGTTAAACTGAAGCTGCTTTGCGTGATCCCTAATAAAATGCAGTCCACAACAATGGGTAGAGTTATTATTTAGATCAGGAACTATCTGATCAAAAGAATAGAATTGGACTGGATATTTGGTGCCAACTTTTATTACCTGACAGTTTTTCACACTCAGACACATTTTGGTCTTTCTGCTCACTTATTTGCAGGTTGTACAGGACTGGTTTGCAGAAAATCTGCTTTAGGCTATTCATTAAAACATTCTTCTTTACAGCTCAGCTTCTTGTTTGTCATTTAGCTTTCCCCCACATCAAAATCTAAGTGCAGAAGGTCTTGGAAACCAAGGCTGCATTATAATATTTGCTGTGGAGCAGAGTTAAACTCATTGAAGACCCGTGAGCTTGATTTGATTTTTGATAAATTCATTGGCCAGTGCACATACTAAACCAGTGCACAATAGTAAATGATAGATGGCACAGATTTGTGATGAATGGAGAAAAATCTATCTTGTTTACTCTAAAAATATTTATATACTTAAGTCATAATTCAAAGGGATGTTCAAAGTTAAGTTATATTTTGGTTACATTTGTTTGTATCATTACAATGTACTCATTACTTCTGGTCAAGCTGGTCAGTGACCACGTGGGACACTGTGTCACTCGGTCTAAGAAAGAGCGAAGTGGGATTCAATTAAACTAATGTAAATAACCTTGTTAACTTGAACTGGTATGTTTTTACTGAATCATTTTGTTTGTTGTGCAGGAGGGTGAGAGGTCTGAGAGGAGGATCACTGATCTAAATGTGGTGATGGATGCCAGTGACTTACAGACCTTCAGCAGCTTCCTGTCTGAGTAAGAACTAACACTGCAAATTGATGTTAATTGGTTGATTTGCTGGAATTTGTAGCCTGATATACTTGCAACTGTTGGCTTCACGGGCTTCATTTGCAAATGGTGAGTGAACAAGTGGTCTGTGGTGGATCTCAACACCTTTGGGATGAAAGAACTAGTATGTTTGTCTTGCCCCCACCCCACATCAAAACAAATATTTGTTTATTGCTGTTCTGAAGAGCCACGCTCAAAAAGACAGTGAATAGCTGTGCCCCAAAGAGAGGTAGGACGTGGCATTGTTTATTTATGGAGACAGTATGTGCTTTAAGACTGTCTCTTATGGAAGGCATTTACAGTGTTGCAATCAGTTGCACACATGAAAAGTTGTGGAACGAATAAAAAAACTGGAGTTTGAGAGAAAAGTTTAAATGGTAAATGGACTGTATTTTATATAGCGCTTTCTCACAGTGTGTTGCACTGGCCAAAGCGCTTTACAGAAGATCATACACCATTCACCCATTCACACACAACATTCAGGGACACTTAGGCATGGGGGGAGACTTGCTGGTCAGGAGACGACTGCCCTACCTCATGAGCCACAGCCACCCCATAAACCCACCATGGCCAGTAATTGTGGGCTTTTTGTCATTTATTTACACTGTCTGCTTACTCCAACAGTGCATGTTTGAAATATTTGATTTTATTCCTGTTTAGTTTAACTCAAGTGTTTATTAAAATAGAAGAACTGCAGACTGCTGCCATCCAGCTGAACCTCTTGACTCACACATTGACTGTCTTCCTCTGTTTACTCTTTACTCACAAACAACAAGTTTCTTTTATGGCAAATATTGTGACTTGTCAAATACAGGTTTAACTCATTACATTCATCATGGCTGCAAGTGTCCAAATGAAAGGACGTGCACACAGTTTCATACACAATTTTATAATTTATTAAATACAGTAATACTGGAGTGCCTCTGTTGCTGTGCCGTTTGTCTGACCCAGGGGTTGGCAACCCGCGGCTCCGGAGCCGCATGCGGCTCTTCAGCCTCCTTGTTGTGTCTCCTTCTGGGGAGACGTGCTGAAACGCTTCGCTGCTTGTCTGGAACATGTGAAAACCTTCTTGGAAAGCAAAGGCCTCAGCTATCCCGAACTGGGATACCTTGATTGGCTGGAAAAGTTTTATTTCATGGTGGATATGACAAGTCACTTAAACACACTGAATAAAAATCTCCAGGGAAAGGGAAGCACGGCTCTGCAGTTGCTGGAGGATGTTCTGGTGTTTGAGCGCAAGATGACAGCATTTGCCCGAGATGTACAGAGAGGTACGCTCTCTCTCTTCCCTGAGAGAGTTCAAAGAAGAGAACAATCACATAAATTGTGATTATTTACAAATTGCAATTATGGCAATGCAAGCTGCATTTGGAGAAAGATTCAGCGAGTTCAGAAAGGAAAAAACACTCTGTCCTTCCCTGTCACACCGCTGGACATCGACCCATCCCTGTTGAACATATCCACATTCACAGAGATAAGTCAGCCCGATCTTGAAATTGAACTGGCCGACACAGCGGATAAAGACTTATGGGTATCCAAGTTCAAAAGCCTGACAGCGGATCTTGAAGAAGTCGCCCGTCAGAAAGCCAATCTCACTAAACATCATAAAATGGAATGATATTGAAAACCTCCCCAAACCCGACAAACTTGTTTTTGAAACATGGAGTGCCATTCCTGACACGTATATGAACATGAAAAAGTATGCATTTGGAGTCCTGTCCATCTTTGGCTCAACATACTTATGTGAGCAAGTTTTCTGGAGCATGAACTTCATAAAGACCAAATATCGCTCCCGCCTCACAAATGAGAGCCTACAGTCCTGTGTGAAGACCAAAGTCACATCTTCCAGCCCCGACAGGGAAGATCAGCATCAGCTTCAGAAACGGAAGGCACATTAAACAGGCGAGAACACTAGCATTTAATAGAATATTATTTTTCAGAAAAAAACCCCCCATTTATTTCAGACCCAAAGCTGATGTCGTTTTTTTTATTGTATGTTCGGGTCCTTCGGCTGATTGCTGGTCGAGAAAGAAACCCGAAGAGGATGAGAGCACACTGAAATGGACTTGTCCAAATAAACCGTCCTAATTTTATGTTTACTTTTTTAAAACTGCTAAGCTGCAACTATATGTTTTTTATATTAAAGTGGGCTACGTTTTATTTTAATTTTACACAAATACGGGAAGGACTCAAAAAGGCCTACATGGTCAGTGTTTAATTTATTTCAAAGTAGAACTACACATGCACATATTGCACTTCGGTTTGTTGTATTCTGTTGTTGTAACAGGTAAAATTAAAAAATTTTAAAAGTTTATAAGCTGTGTTATGTTTTGCGGCTCCAGACTATTTTTCTTTAGTGGAAGAGGGGGCAAAATGGCTCCTTTGATAGTAAAGGTTGCCGACCCCTGGTCTGACCTGTCACTGCTGCACTAGCTTGCTCTCTCACTGCACCATGTTGGCTGCTGTCCTCCTCCTCTTCTACATCTCTCTGTTTAGCTATCTCTTCCTCACCCTTTCTCGCACTGTTTGACGCCTGGAAATACCAAACTCTGTTTTGTTAATACCGCTGATCTTTGTGTCTATTCAGAACAACTCGTCTGAGGCTAGGAAAATATTTTTCAGTGTTTCCCTGAGGGTACTAAGGGTACAGACATTTAACATTCAGAGTTTAAGAATTTAAACAGCTCACTAACTCGGTGACAGCTATATTAAACAGTAACTACTTCAGTGCAACACTTCTGCCTCAATGTTTGTGTTTATGAAGCTTAAAATGTTTCAGCTTTTGGTGAAATTGTCATAAATGTATACATGAATGTATATGTTTATTATTAAGGTAATAGCTCAAGATAATTTTGTACTGGACTACATTATATTCAGAGGTGTTTTTAATATTCTGACAAAAATATAGAGACGCCTATGAATATAATGTAGTCAAATAGCCAAATAATGTGAAGGCGCTCTGAGTGTGCTGCAATGCATAGAAAAGTTCTATACAAGACCATTTAGTGTTTGTGGGCCTGGGTACGCTTCAACACTTTGTGTTGAAGATTTTGTTTTAGATTGATTAAAGTGTCATTTTCACCAACATTCTACACTCAGTGACCCATAATGACAAAATGAAGGCATATTTTTATAAACATTTGAAACTGTAAAAGTCTGTGTTTAATTTGGTATTTTTTCCACTGTTTGCTGCAAACTCCTTTTAATGGTCAATATAACAATCAAACCAGCTATCAGTGTCTCTCTTTCTGTCTTTTTGGTAGTCCTCCATTATATGGAAGAGTGCTGCCATGTTTCCATCAGGTCTATGTGGAATAACAGTCATCTGGAAAGTTCACCCGGTTGCCGTCTAGCCCCTGGCCCCCTTGGAAAACTCTGGAAATCCTTTAACAGAATGTCTCAGGCTCACTCAGTGAACCAGGCCAAAACAAAGATTTTATTGCTGTTGCCCTTATGATGTACAGAATACTGTACCAGTGGGTTGAAAATGTGCCTTGTACCTTTTTGCTCTTATTAATTTGAGTTGTACTTGGTTTTTATTGCAAATTAATACATGCTATACCATACTAACATACCTGTGTGTCACATGACAGATGTATATATACATTATATCTGCTAACCATCAACATGGCCACAGTAACATCGTTCTTGTGCTGATGCCGAGTATTTACCAAAAAAGCATAGCTAACATTTTCTGGCCACAGCTGAGACCTCTGGCAGTTCAGTGTTGACTGATTGTTTAATAGCACCATCTGGTGTTTGGACCTTTACTGATTGACAGTTCAAATCATTAACATTGACAGGGCAGAACTAATAAATCCCCTCTTCTGGACATATTGTTTCTGCATTTTTGAGTTTTATTGGACAGCTGTGAAAGAAGGTGCAGACAGGGCACAAGGGCAGAGAGAGAGGGGTGTGACATGCAATGCAGGTATAGGCTGGAATTGAACAGTGGGCATTGCAGTTATGCACAGTAGTGGTTTGGCTATAATTGTAATGTGTGCAATGTTTTTCCAGGGTGGAGGAGAGCAGGGATCTTCTGCTGTTCTTCAGAACTCTGAGGACTTTCTCTGACAGAAGTGATGACCGGTGCAGAACGTTCCAGCACTTCCAGGTAGGTGAAGACACACTCGCACCAAACTGGACTTCAAAACTGGCAACCTCATCTTCACACACCTGCTTTCCATAGTGTTCCACTGTTAAAGTGTTATTGACACAGTGATGACATAAAAGTATTTGTTCCGATGAAGATGCCCGACCTTGGATTTGGCTAGGTTTGTCCTTCGCTCCCACATAGTGTGTTGAACACAGTTGATCACATTTGCAAAACATGGCAGTATTCATTTCTTTGTTTGTGAAAATCCAAAAACATGATCCATCTTGAGTTTCTTCAGTGAGGAGACCAGATGGTCCCTCAGTTCGTGTGAGGGCAGGCAGACATAAAATGGTTTATAATCACTCTTTAACCTCTGCTTGACCTGCTGGGCTTTCACCCTCATCCTCCAGTGAAAGGAGCCTTGTTGTTTTGTCTAGCTGGAGGTCAGAGGGTCACACCTGAAGATCTGGGATTATCCGTGTGGTTTTTACATCTGGATGGATTAATGGATACAACTGACAAAATGTATGCATGGACAGATACTCTATATACGTACTCTAGTTACATAGATGGATATACTGTAATACAGATAGATGATAATGAATAGATAAATGATTAATATGATAGATGCTATAAACGCATACTCTGGATGTATACATTGGCAAAAAAGTAAGTTAATTCCAAAGTAACCACTGAAACAATCTGCATTTATTCATACTTTTGTTTCAAAATGTTACAGTTATAGCAGTACAGTATATTTATAGGACACGTCTCAAAAAACCCAAGGTCATCTTATAGAAAAAAAGACAATCAATACAATAGAAAAAAGTAATAAAAAAAAAGATAGAATATCACTGTGGATAGTTATGCAATATAAAATGCCCACATTTAGTACTATATGACACAATGACAGCAGTAGTGTCATGACATAATCGGCACTGATAAGCCTGCTTAAAAAGATATATTTTAGTTGCAGTCTTAAATTCACTGATGAGTCACAATAGGGAGATCGTTCCAAAGCCTAGGTGCACCAATATATCCCAGTTGTGCACATACACAGTCTATTTTAACTAATAACACACAAGCCATGTATTAGTCATCATTTAAACATTCACTGAGTAGGTTGGAAAAGTATGTGAATCCTAATGACATCAACCAAAGTTAACTGGAATTGGGAAACCTGAAGTCCGGTGAATGAAACCGATTAAACATTTTGTGTTTGCTGTTCACTAGAAGCATCATTAGTAACTAAACTGCAGCTTTTTTGCAAATCAGGCCACATTTACACAAATCATGGCCTTTTATGAAGTCTGTAAACTGTGTAGATTCAGACTGAAGAAAGTTAAAGCAGTGGGTGTGAATTAGTGCGGGCATTGTAAATATCAGGGTGGATTTTATTGAAGATGCAGCAGTAAAACAGTCAAATAATAAATCAAGCCACAGAAGCAATATGGAACCTATTCTCCTGTTTATTTGGAGAATGTAACGTTTTGCCAATTTGGCTGGGCTGAAGGAGGATTAACCCACATTTTCCATACCCGTCTGTGTGCTGTAATCTCTTGTTTTGCTTTATTTTATTTTTCTTCAGTGTTAAGTAAAATGTAATTCCTATTGTAACTGTTGTGCTGCATGCGACGTGAGCAGCACTTCGTATGCTGATTTCCGTGCTTTAAGGCCCACAGACATGAACACGTACTCAGAGGAATAAGCAAATAAAATACAAAACAAAGAGCTGGCACGCAGCGCATCCATGTCAGAAATCCTAACATTTTTGTTGCTGGTAGACCACAACATTAACCAGTCACTGTAGGACTACAAGACTGCAGATGGTCGCTGGCCGAGTTACAAACCACACACATTTACAAGCATGTGGCCAGACACCGATTGGCATTTCTCCATTGTGGTCATATTAGTGTGCACACAGTCACACAGACATGCACAGCCTCTGCAGCCAGCCAAGAGGAATGGTGTAATGCTGTTATTTTTGTTGTGCTAGTGGTGTGGCTTAAAGATGGCAGCTGGTCATTCGGCTTAACCATATTAGTTAGAGCTGTGACTGAGACACTGTTCCAAAATATCTTTGACATTTCTGTTATGACATTTATTGGTTGACATGCATCAATGCAGATTTTGACTTTGGAGGTTGTGCCTTTAGTGCAATTGCAATTACAGGATTAAAAGTAAACTAGCAAATGTCTTTGGTTTTCTGCCATTATCGGTATCTTGTACTGTTCTTTGACTTGTAGTCATTATTTCTGTGGGGTCATAGGACATTTCAACCTGTAAGGTCAGCCTGCAAGATTTGGGATATAATGTGCATTTAAAGCTACTCTACATAATTTCCTTTCTGCTTAGAGAGGGTCCATCACGTTCTGATTTATCAGACAGTGTAAAATAGTCATTAATGTACCTCTGAGTTGTATGTGGGTTAGATTTTGTATTTTTTTTATAAACAGTTTGATGACAAGAACAGCTGTTTTGTTTTTCAAGTGTGTCATGGCTCTGGCAATAAAACACACATATTGGTGTGGCTGTAGGCACCATTGCTACCTAGTAGTACCTCCTCAGAGGTATAACTATACTTTGGTGTGCAGTCAAAGACAAAACTAAGAAAGCTAAAGAAAAACTATCTGCTGTTTTTCAGAAACTGCAAACTTTCTCATAACTACAATCACCGCTCTCCTTCAGTGAAAGAATGTAAACATAGTGATTGCAAGGTAGTAGGCTTATTTTTTTGGTATTTGGCCAAGATAAACCTTCCATTTGATATTGTTCAGGATTTTGAAACGTAAATGAAAGAAGGTAAACAGTACTGTGGGAAGAGCG